ACTAAACCAAAGGAATTAAACCCTTTTTTGAAACCATTTACCTTCTGCTCCACAGCCTTAGGATCCAGCATCTGCCCAAAGTCTGCCTGGAGAACATCCAAACCGACACGAGGGACAATGGTGGTCTGCAAATCATGAATTCAAAATAGTGATCACATTAGAATCAAACTTCATGCATTAAATTTAAATGAAGGAAGAATAGGGACCTTAACAAACAAACTAGTAACTTACAGTTTCTCCAACTGAGGCATGACAAAGAACTCTTCCATTGGTGACAGTTCATGAGCTGATGGCAGCAATTCTCCAGAAGAAGTACTCTGCTCAAAGAGAGGAATCAACACAACTTATGTTGTTAATTATTCCTTACTTTCTGAAGATAAAACTCAAAATTAAAGGGATGATATAACTGGTAACAAGTAACACTCTACTAATCCCATGCTGCTGCATCTTTTCTCTTAACTGGAATTTCATTCTCAACCACAGTTTGTGTACATAATCAACGTTTTAAGATTTTATTTACAAAGCAATAAAATATTATGTTTTAACTCTTTAACCCCTTAGATAGAGTAACTGGTTTCTAATTTAAATAAGATATAGAAGGCATAAGAATAAAGGAAATAATCACCAAATTAAGAAGGTCCTGATTGTCAATACTGTAAATAAAGTACAGAAGAATGTACAGAATACCAAAATTAATTTTGGGGTGCAAAGGGATAAATGTCGTTAATCTATAACTATCAGAGTACAAACCTCCAGTGCTATTAAAGCTCCTTCGTCATCAAGTTGAAGTTTGTTCGTTCTCAGATCTTCATTAAGTTGCTTTAATAAATTCATGAACAAATTGAGTAGTAAGGTTATTTGATATATTAGATGTACAGTCATATAGACTTTGTTATTGGCTGCTCTAGAGCAAAAGCATTTTGAAATATAACTTTAATTCGTATAATTATTCATCATTTTAATCGAACGTAATCTGCAGATCTCTTTTAGTGGGAGCACCACCACTTACCTCAGGTGAGATTTTTGAGAATCCACGTCTAACATGAGTGTGATACCTGTCCAGATGTTTCTTTTGCAAAACAGCTGGTAAACAGATAAATTTATGGTTGATCATTTTTTTTTTCATGTTTCATCTGGTAATTGTCTAGTATCTCGATCCAGTAGCCTACTTGTTATCATAAAGTAAATATGATGGAGAAATGTAAGACTGAGTTTCATGCTTATTTGAATTCAAAGTCAATTGCAATTGTTCAAACATTAACCATTCCACTTCCAAGATCTAGTTAGTAATTCTCTTTACTGCCTGCCCGCCATAAAGTTCTTATTATGTTACTATGGATAATATAGTTGTGGATCAACTGACATTCCCCTGCTTTTCTGCTTGATAGTGTATTGATAATATTGTAAGGAAAAATTCTGTTTTATTTGGTTACTCACCATGAGTCCATTTAAAGACTGAGTATACTATCAACATTAACATTGAATGTACCTGGTTTCACTTGTTCTGTATGACAAGTCCCAAACAAATCAACAAACAATGGATCCTGAAAAAATCAGATGAACACAAAATTTTTTTAGGAATATTGCAGTTTAAACTAACAGAAATACTACCAGCTTAATACTAACACTGACCTGGTTTTGCACAAGACAAGTTAGTCTCCTGTAGTAATTAATTGGATTTGTTGGAGAAAAGCGTACAATTATGGCCTGGGAACCCTTGCCAGGTAACAGACCACAAGTTGATTCCAGCTTGAAGACACTTTGACTACAATCAATCATGAACTAACAAAAGCAAAAATTATTACATAAGAACAAACAATTAAGTGTTTAAGCTAAAGGTTTATCTGTTGATATCAAGATATTATCTAAAACAATTTCTTTTCTATAAAACTGCCATTATGAAGAATGACACCAATTGGAAAATGAGACCTGCAGTAAATTATAATTATAAATAGCCCTTGCTAGTGATCTCCCTCTAATGGACTTAGCCAGAGGGGAAAAACAGGTCGGGGGAAAAAACCATCTAACAAAAGACCTGGCTTATTTTTTTTCATTCTGAAGGAGGAAGCATCTGTTAAACATGAGAAATTCTTAAGATAAGTGACCTTTATCCATAGCAATTATACTTACATAATAAGCACCAGATAGATTACCAGATTTTCAAAAGATTTCAAAGGCAACAGGGACTCAGTGAATATTTTTTTGGTCATTTTTGCTCATAATTAAAAAATTATCACATTGGACTTGATCTTTTTTCTCTAGTCTTATGGTGATGTCATTCCCTTATCATGGAACTTGTTTAAATCTCCCAGATATCATAGAAAACACTAAAACATGACTTAGTGCTCAAAGGAGCCAATGACTTTGCACCAAGGGAAAATGAAGTAATGTTCCTGAAGAAAATAACCAATTTCTTTTGGAAGCAACTGAACAATTACACCAAAACATCACTCCATTATGCAGACACAATTTT